CTGTGGATGTGTCTTTAAAATGTTCTTTTGGTATATAGATAGGTAGAGGGATAAACAAATAAACAGCTATGACCAGGGTATTTTCATGTTACTGTTCATAGGTGATTGTCACATTATAGGTGGTCACTGGTATTTTAATTTTTATAGGTTTATTAACTTAAAATATGAAAGTGAAACTGATGTTATGAAAGTAACAATGAAGCCATTTGAATAGCTGTATTTAACACTATTCTTGATATCTTTGTGTGTGGGAAGCTACAATCCTTCTCAGTACAAGGCAGACTGAAATTCAATTACATAAAAAGCAACACCAATATGAAGATATCTACTACAATATTTATTTGGTTTATGTTGAACATCTGATATGTTTGATTTTCATGATTTTATGGCAAATGTTTTACCAAGAAAGCACATATAATCTATATGCCAGAGAAAAATTACCATAGGACTTTTTACACTTAAATATCAGGAAACATGGACTTCAATATTTACTTTACTTCTTCCCAAGAGATATGATAGGAGATGATGGAAAAGACCCATTTACTGAAGCAGAAACCTTCCATAAACAATAATGAATATACCATCTTGTATTTTAATATGTTTCCCTTATTTTTGGACTTTAAAAAATACAGTGTGCTTTAAAAACTTCACATTTCCAATGGTTAAATTATGGGTGCACAAGTCGGGTGATCTCTCAATGCCATATTTGAAAACTTTAATAAGGAACAATAATAGCACAAAGTATCTCAAACCTCTTCTTATTCAGGTGTGTGTGTTTGTGCGTGCATTGTACACATATACTATGAATAACTGGATTTGCACAATCATAGAGAATAACACTGCAATAATGTCATTCTAGAATGCATACTTGGTATATTTTAATATCTCTGATAATAGATTATGTCTTATAGTTGTTCTTGGCCGGAGTTGAAGCTGCTTTCTTCTGGAAAGAGTTTATTTTTACTTTTTGCCAGACACATGCAACTCTCCTAACCTGACACCTCTTTAAATTAAAGTCTTGTCTGAGGTTTTTCTTCCACACTGCTGGTGGGACTCAGAAAGTAAACCTTCATGAGTACCGTAGTGGGGTTCAAGAAGTGGTCTTGCCCCTTTTCCACTACCCGTGATTACAGCTGAAACAGGCAAATGTCCTTGCGTCTTCTGCATGGGAGTTTATTTCTCTTTCACTAATACTGAAACACTGCCAACTGGCTTGATGCTGGCACCACTATCACATTCTCCATTTTGGGCAGTTTTTCTTTCTTAGCAGTCCTCAAAAAATGGTGCCTCAACATTCACTGACATCGTAGACTTGATATAATTTGGTAATTCATTAAAGTTTTTTTTTTTTTTGTTTTTTGTTTTGTTTAGGGCTGACATCATACTCATCTATCAAATTCTGAGGCCTCTCTTGGGCCTAAATGCTCAGATTCAGTTGGACTTTCTATGTGTATAAAAGAAGCCACAACATAGACCAGATTAGCTTTGGTACAAAACACTAAATTTACAGCATTGTGGACCATAAAGATGACACTCCCAAAGATATTTTATGAAATTTTAGAACAATGCTGAGGCCAACCAAGACACAAGCTGACTTGAACCAGTTGCAAATATAATGAAGAAGACTGAATTCTGTGGATGTTTTACCACGGGAAGCTAGAAGAGAAATGCACATATGTAGAACAGCCAAAGGAACTATCATAAAGTGAAATTCAACAGTGGCACTGGACTAAAGTTAGGGCGTAAAGTATTTCAAAGATTCAAAAATCTATGATGTTAATTTTTAATTTTTAAAAATGTTACTTATGGTTTGTTCCTTTCTGGCCATGTAGATCATAGTATGGCTTATTCTTGTTTAGTAAAGAAGGTAGAATGGTAAATCGACTCAGCCACTCATGCTCTTGGATGGCAAAGTCAGACAAGCTCCAATTTTGTGCATAAGTTATTTTAGGGAAGGGAGCATACTGGAAACAACCTGAAGTTTTTCTTCAGCATTCTGTACGAGGTATGAGTGAGAAGACAAGAAGATCTGCCAGCACATATACATTTAGGGTTTTATACTAAAAGTTCCCTAGATGAACAGCCACCAGCGATGGAATAGAGTATGCTAGGTTAAGGGGAAATGGAGCTGGATTTTTCTATGTTACACCTAGGCCAGCTCACCACTGGTGCTGACTTTACACAAGAGAGAGCAAAGAGCTAAGTGAGTGTTAAAGGTTTCATTGAGAGTGAAATTTCTTCCACCTTAATGCTGAGTTATTTTATGTAGTTTCTCTATTAAAACCTCAGGATATGTAAAATATAGAGTGTTACAGAATGTTTACCATTACAGCTGGAACTGATTGTTCTGAAGTGTGTAATTTGGCTTCAAGTTGCTTAGCAGCTTTCCGGGAAAACATCTCGTATCTTTATATATTTCCATATGAGCATATATATTTTATTCAATGTGAGATGTGACACTAGCAAGACAACATACATGATTTAATAGCGCTGGGCTATGGGTTTTTCCCCATTTTACTTTCAAATATTGACATCACCTATTCTAAGATAATGCACTGGTTCCTAATGGTCAGACTCAGCTTGGCCATATAAGAATGCCTGACTTAGTCTTCAAACATATGAAATTTACTGATCTATGGTGTATAATTTTTATGTTTGGTTAATGAGAAATACTAGCAGACAAGAAATAAAGAGGCCTTCAAAAAGGGAATGTTTTATTTCTGCAGGGCTGCTTGAGCTTCTTGGACTATTTTACCATATATCACAAACATCTACATAGCATTGCTTTTACACACACACACACACCCACACACACACCCACACCCACCCACACACACACACACACACACACACACACACACACACCCAATGACACTGAACCACAGCAATTCCCTTTCTTCCCTATGGTACCTATTTTGAATGAAGTATCAAAAGAAAAAATGATTCACATTAACTTTACTTTCTATAGCTAAGCAATTCTATATTCCCAATTTTTATAAGCTCATCACTCTATACATATATATATATGTATATATATGTATGTATATATATATACACATACATAAGCTCGTGACTCCAACATATATGTTATTTTGAAGAAATATCAACTGGGTCTATGAAGGAATTAGATTATTAAACAAGTGGATTTATCAGTAATTCTCCAGCAAACTTCAAAACATAACATATTATCCTACATGTAGTAGTGTATAATGATTATTTATTAATTGACTGGTTGATAATGGTTTCTTAAGAGAGGTCTATTTTTAAATATGATGGTGTTAACATTAACGTATGTTAATAGCAATGTATTGTTAAATCATATTAATGATAAATAATAGATGCTATTTAGTTAAAATCTCTACTGAAAACCAAAAACAGTAAGGTAAGTAGCTTTGCTATAGCTTCAAATATTTAGTTTATTCATTCAACAAAAGTTTATTAAACATCTACAATATTCATGATATTGCATTTTGTTATAACCCCAGAAATATGAGTGAGCAAAATAACAAAGTCCATATTGATGTGGAGATTAAAGTCTGATTAGAAATAAGCTCTAGTTACATCATCTTGTTTCCTTTACTTATAGTTATCATTAGCTTTTCCATATCTAAGCAAAAAGATTCTTTAATGTAATGCATACTTTATAATACCTCATTGCTTAAATGGTGATGATTTTAATACAATATTTTTACATGAAATAGATTAATGGAAAACTAGTGAATGTTTTGTTGTCCAACTGAAAAATGCTGTTTGAAAAATTTAAGAAGAGTATGTCAATAATGTACTCTAGCTGTATAAAGACATATAAAAAATCACATTTTGTCCAATGTAGTGGTGTCTTTTTTTTCTTTATAATGAGAAAAATAACAGATAGTAGTGCCCTTGGCAAGAAATTGTGCAAGCAAAATGGACCTTAAATATAGGCTCATTTTGTGGCTACCTGTCTCCTGGTATTGGCATCCCCACAAAACCCTGTGAGCATTCCCGAATAAGATACAAGCACATACAGGGTACACAAAAGGGGGATCTGACTTTCAGAAGGTAGCTAGGCCTTAGAATGCCTGCTGGGGTTATTTGTGCAGTGTGTTTTCTTTCTTAACATTCATGAAACATGAATATTGTATACACAGAATTAGTGGATCAAATCTAAGTTAATTGATAAAAATATGAGACCTTCCTTTAAGATTAATGTAAAAAGGCACCAAAAATGTGAATAGGGTAATTATATTCAATTCCATGCAAAATATTTACATTTTACATTTCAGCTATTTTTAACTATTTTTGCTAGTAGTGATGTTATTGATAAATTTTCCCAGCAGAGGGAAGCACAGCCTCATTATTGTTTTTGTAAAGGGTTGAAGTGGGGGGAGTGAGATATACTACAATTTTGTTGCATTTTAAAGGAAGTTTGGTTCATATCCCAGCATTAAATAAGCTACTTAACATTAAATAGGACTTGACATCTTTTAGGAAGCATAAAATGAAACAATCCAAAATCCCCAGTTCAAAGAAATATCCTACTGGTAAATGAGTGGGAAGGTAGCTGAACTACCTTCTACTCAGCTAGGGTACCCTGTAACAATATAGTGGGTCTATGTCATCAGCATATTAATGAATGATTTCCATGGCTTATTTTAAGACTGTACTTTCTTCTTCAATATACTTAAATGAATATTTCTGTTGCCTATTGCTCTTGTGTTGCTATTATTATCAAAGCATGTACTTAAATTGGCTTCTTTTTGTTAATATGAGAAAATTGATATTTAAGTCTTGTAAGGGTCTCAAACTTGAATCTGTCATAACTGCAATAATAAAATATAATTCACTACTTAGCATTCTTTAGAATTTTCTTTCTTCTAGATTTCCTTTCTCTTCAGTTGCATTTCCTTAAGTATGCTGGCACAGGTGTGTGCCCTGCATGCCCACGTGTGGGTATGCACTATTGCTTACAATTTTAGCCTAATGTTAGCAGGTTGAAAAATGAAAGTGTTGTAACTTACCATGGTGTTGTAAGTCTGAACAATGAGTCAATGGGTCTCCATTTCTTATATCTTGTCGTCTTGTGCGTCTAAAACAATTACATTTAAAAGGTATTATGGCATCCTCATTCCTTCTTGGGAATTTGTCACAGGGATTAAGAAGAATAAAAAATCAAAGAACTTCCGGAGCTTAATGGAAGAGACAAATCTACATCTGACTAAAGAATTTTTTAAAAGCAGCTCATTACACCTGTGGGAGCATGTCTCCAGGTGATCAAAATGTGAAACAGTACACAAATGTACTAAGAAGGAGTGAAGTCTTTCAAAGTAATAACAGAAGATTCATGGTTTTGTGCTACTGTGTGTCAGTCAATAAGATACTAACATCTGGAAACTCTAAAATTCTTAGCACCTTAAATTCTGAGGAAAAAGCACAAAATATAGAATAGTAACCCATTTCTTCAATAACCTGGATTAAACTTCTTTTTTCTAATCACTAGAGAGTAAGCCTAAAAATTCAAATTTCCATGATTATGTTCTTTCTCTTAATACTTACACATAATTCCTTAAATAGACTTTTGTTAAATTTGAAAGCATCAACTCTACGAATTCTACTTTTAAGTTAGTTTTTAACTTTCCTTTTTGGTCGCTGTATCGATCATTTTTTAATAAAACATTTATTTTATGATCATAGGGCTATGATTTCAAGCCAATTTACCCGTGAAATGAATAAAAGGAGGAGTGCAATAACAAATATTGTGGAGGAAGCTGAGAGAGAAGATGGCCTCCCTCTAAAATAAAAGCCAAATTTGTTATATAAGTAAATTTCTCCTAAATACTGCTGCTCAGATCACATTAGTTGCTACACATTCTGGGGGTCCTCTTTATCGTTTGCTAGTGGTTGATGACTGGGAAAAAGGAGGTTGTCTCCAGCCATCATGGTGCAAGCAGGATGTGTAGTTTGGGAAAGAGGCTAAACATGGAGATGGGCTACGCATAGCAGAATGAGAAAGACTGGGGACACTTGCTCAACTGTTCTCTGTGTCGATTTTAATGATTATTGTCCTGTTGCAAAGTTAGTTACCATCACTGAAGAGAGTTCTCACAAAGGCCAATGAGAACTACAAACATGGAAATTGTTACTGTATTCATAAATTGAGAAGACTAAAGTATTTATAGATTTCTATTTGTAGAATTGGTGAGACTATCAAACAGATGTTGCACATTTCAAAATTGAGCCAACAAGGGAACTTGTGAAACACGAACCACAAAGCATTTGGAAAGGCATTTTTTACTGCCATTTAAGCTTTTGAAAAATGCCATCACAAAGAATATATAAATTGTAAGGCCTCTAAACATCCTTTTCAAAGACACATGAAATTGGATTAAGTAAAATCTTCAAGGCACAACAAAAAACGTGTTAATGATAATTCCTTCAATCTGGATTTGTAGGTATGAGGTAAACATATTTCAAATATATAATAATATACAGATTTGTAACTTATTATAGATGTAGTTTTCTTATTTTTAACTTCTTTCTTATTAAAAAAGCTTAAAATTTGAATGAATTATTACTAAGTTAGGTAATGTTATATACACTTCCACATGGAAAGGAAATGACACTCATTTTTAACTGAAATCTGAATTTTTATGTTTTTCAACACTAAAAGCACTAGATCTTACTGATTTTAAGAACCATAAAAGTTCAACCTTAAGCAATTTAATTTTAGTGCTATAAAAACTGCAAATTGCTACTTATTAAACTATTGATGGTTTCTTCATTCTATAACACATTACCTCCACACTACACGTTTGTTTTAGATTTAAACTTCTAAAAAAATCAGTTGGTATATGAAAGAATATAAACACGTTCTCTTAATTCTGAATGTTGAAGGCTTGAGAAAATTCTATTTATTAAATGGAATAAGCTAATACGATATTTACATATAATATTAAGATAACTTTTAATCTATATGGACTGATTATAGGATAGATTTAAGTTATATATGATTTAATACTAAAGCCAATGTTATCTGAAGTATGTAATCAAAACATTTAAGTAGGGGCACCTGGGTGGCTCAGTCAGTTAAATGTCCAACTCTTGATTTTAGCTCAGGTCATGATGTCATGGTTTGTGAGTTCAAGCCCTGGGCTGGTCTCCACTCTGACAGCGTGGAGCCTGTCTGGGATTCTGTCTCTGCCTCTCCCCTGTTTTCACTCTCTCTCTCTCTCAAAATAAATCAATAAACTTAAAAAAAAAGATTTAAGTAGGCAGTAGGCATTAGGGCTATTCCTTTCCCCTAAAATCTTTTCAAAACACTATAAATGATGCATATGTTGAAGCACACAGCTGACTAGCAGTGAAAAAAATCCACATCACAGCCTCTTGTAAAACGTTAACTATAGCAAAAAAATAAATAAATAAAATAAAATAAAACAAATTGTATTGCTCCTAAAATGCAGTGGCTTGATAACTCTGATTTCCATTTTATGTTTCAATAGGTTGATGTACATACACTGCTAAGCTTTGGGCTTATATTAGCAAGATATGGTATATGACTCTCACCTTTCATTGCTTCTTTCTTAAATACTGGTAAATAATTAACAGAGAAAGGGATCCCTATGTGAGTGGAGAATATGTTGAGATAAATATTTTGTCAAATTAAGGAAGTGTTCTTATTTTTTCAAACAGAAGTAAACTAACTTTGCGTACAACGTTTAGGATGTATCTAAGATTCCCTGAAGGTTAATAGTACTCCTGTAATAGTACTCCTACATCACATACCCTTAATGTCCCAGACAACAACTTACCGCTATTTTTTTTCTAGGCATATTGTTTTAGGTAACTTCTAGGCATATCTTAGCAACTTCGAATTAAGCAAAAATAATGCTTTTAAGTATTAAGGGCGTGTTTAAAATATTTGTATAATGCATACACAAATATTAATAAATAGCCATTTTATTATATGGTTTTATATTTCAACAAATACAATTACAAGATCATACTATGATAATACAATGGCCTTTAAATTTGGGGGGAGTCAAATAAATATATATTTGGGGCTAAAGAAAGATATACTTTGATGCTAATTAATCATTATACAAAAATGTGTTATCTTTAAAAGTAGGAAAATTTTTTGACTTTAAAGTTGAGTCCCTGTGTACTAGGAGGCTAAAAGTAAATAAATTATTTTTGTTGCAAATTTTCCATTCATCCAAACAGAAACTGCCTTATTAAAATCTAAAACCAGGATAGAATGTTGCTAGATAGAAAAAGAAGAGCATTTTTGGAGCACAGCATTTTGGCCAAAAGGCACAAGGTCCAGTGTAGATTCTGATTGACTTCCTCTGTGGTTTTGGCCCTCCCTTTTCTGCCTGTATAAAATGAAGTTGCAAAACTTTCTAATTTCCAAGTGTCAACATTCAAGGATAGTATTGTAATGTTTTAGATTTCCCTCAGTAATTTATTAAAACCATACGTTCCCTTATATTTAGTACCCAGCTATAATTATACACATTCTTCTGACTGTTTTAACTATGTAAGGGGAAGAAACCCCAAAACTCCTCTAATTCATCAGAATTATGTGACACTCTTCATTCATCAGAAAAATGTGATGTACTTATATGCAGAAAGCTGTTAAAAATGGAATCAGGTAAGAAAAGTGTATTTATCTCTAATACTTCTCCTACCTCTTTGCAGTGGGAAAATAGCGAGAGCATGAAGAGCCATCCCAGGCACAGTAAGGGTCTCGGGCAAGGCAGCACTCTGCACACGCTTTCCCGTAAATATCGCATCGGTGTAGAGGGAGCTGGGCAACCCCCGTGGTGGAACCAACATAGAGTTGTTGCTGTGGAGAGAGTTTACTGTGATGACAAAACGATCCTGTTTTTAAAATCTTTTTTCTTAAAAAAAAAAAAAAAAGTTTACCCATATACATCATGAAGACATTTTTACTAGTGGGTTTTAAAAAAATCCCATTATTGGCAATTTTGTCATTATTGGCCTGGCAGATAATATGACCATTTTAAAAAGATCAAGATCAAAATCTCCATACTTGACTCAAACAGGTGTATTTTAAAGTATAAAACCAAGGGAAGACAGTAATGGTTATATATCAATTATATTTCAATAAAAATAAAAATTTAAGTAAGACACTGAATAATATAAGTTTCAAACGTCCAGGGTTTTGTCCTTAGAAAGTTTGTTTTTACTTTTACTGTTTCTAATTTTGATTAATCAGTATATCTACAATGCCATGTATTCTGGTTGGTGTTGACCCAGGGATCATTTGACTCTTCTGACTCTTGGGTGCTGCTATTACATTGCTTGTGATGTAGTCTGCCCTTCTATAAGAAGGGGTATGGCAAGGGTTTTGTGCTTGCATTTGTGAGAATTTTCATTGGTCAGCTGTCTTGTCCTTGCACAATCTCCAGGACGATTACTTTAAACAAAACTACTAAATTGCATCTCATTGGAAAGATCATCAAATGGGCAATATCAAGTGCACTCTGGCTGGTGCAGTGAACTTCAACAGAAAGCTCAGGGGCTATGGCAAAAGTGCTATACTGGGCATCAAGGTGGCTGGATTCTAGATCTTGCTTATAATAATTCTCTGTGTAATCCTGAGCCATTCCTCTCATTTTTCTAACACTTAACTTCCTTATTCACAAAATTGGCATATTTAACTAGATCTTTAAAGTATACGTCCAGATCAGACATTCTACAATGTCACTGTGCTCAGTGAATTTACAATTACCAAATGAAGTAAAATACACAGAAAAACTTTCTGGTAGCAACTAGTTCAGGATTTCAGCACAATTTTTAAAGTGCCTTTAACAAAGTTTACCCAATGCAGCATTTAAAAAATGTTGCAAATGTATGTACATACAAAATAAAATACAAATAAGATTGTTTTGTGATTTCTCCACATTTTACTGTAATCAGTATTATAGCTCGCTTTTATTGCACTAAAGGACTGAATGATTATCGTAAGCCTTAAATAAAAGTTGTATAAATACTGATTCATGTAACAGTACACATGGAAAAGACCTCAAAAGTGTATTTTAATTTCCCCACTACATAAAGGAAAAAGATGTTATAGAAAAGCTGGTCTCTGAAACATGGTGAGCTCTTTTAATATTACACATTTCCTGGGGCGCCTGGGTGGCTCAGTCAGTTGAGCGACTGACTTCGGCTCAGGTCATGATTTTAGTTTGTGAGTTCGAGCCCCACGTCAGGCTCTGTGCTGACAGCTGGGAGCCTGGAGCCTGCTTCAGATTCTGTGTCTCCCTCCCTCTCTGCCCCTCCCCCACTGATGCTCTGTCTCTGTTTCAGAAATAAACATTAAAAAAATTTTTTTAAATATTACAAATTTTCTGATAGCAATGGATATAATTAAAATTACATTTACAAAGGACATTCAAAGATGAACCACACATATAAATAAACATAAACTGAATGAAGATTGATATATCTACCAGAATCTATGAAGTGACTAGGGTTATAAAAAGTGCTTACATAGAAAATAATTCTGTGCTTAAAGCTAACCAACTAACTTATATCTTAACAAAAGATAGGGGAGTAAGAGGGAGAATGTAATACAATAAAAACTAAACCATTATTAAAACCGTTATGCTGATGCATATTGCTTCTTCCCTTCCAGTAGTGAAGACAATTTGTATCAATATTCTAGAACAGGATAGCATATAGAATACAGTATATACTGTGGATGCTCAACTTTTTTTTTTAATGTTTGTTTTATTTCTGACAGAAAGAGAGACAGAGCATGAGCAGGGGAGGGGCAGAGACAGAGGGAGACACATGTCTGAAGCAGGCTCCAGGCTTTGAGCTGTCAGCACAGAGCCGGACGCGGGGCTCGAACCCACAGACGGGGTGAGATCATGACCTGAGCCAAAGTAGAATGCTCAACCGACTGAGCCACCCAGGCGCCCCTGGATGCTCAGCTTCTTATTATATTCATCTTTTATTATTGCACTGAAAGATCCTACAAGCCATGGCTAATTAAGAAGCAGTAGTTGAAGTCCTTGGGAGGAAAAGATGAAGTATTGTTAAGTCTTTTGTTGAGAAAAAATTAGACTGATTTGTACTTCTCTTAAAGCATCTACAGAGGCATCTACATGTGATTTGTACTTCTCTTAAAGCATCTACAGAGACATCTACATGTGACAACAGTTGACCATGATTTGAAAAATATGAACAAAGAACTTAACTAACGGAAGGAACTTCTTTTCCCTTCCTGTCCTTTATATCTCTCTTCCAAAATCATTGAAAAACAAAACAAAACAAAAAACCAGACTTAGATTGTATTGAAGGCAAGCAATCTCAAATCAATTAAAAAAATGAATAAACTTGTAACATTTCAGCAATTAAATTAGTTAAAATGGAGCAGCAATATCCACAAGCTTGATTGGCACTGGTGAATGTGGACTTGCTGACCCCTGTACTGCGGTCAGAACTATTTAAAAAGCTACTGATTAAGTTGGGCATATCAAATCAAAAGGTCTCTATGTTTGGTCAATAGCTCTTAAGGAGCATAAGCAAATTCATACTTGCAAAATTTTAAGATTATGACATTTGATTTGGAAAGGAGTTATTATGTAAATAACAGTATCTAAATCTGTCATATCCCTTTAGGAGAAAACCAGAGAAATAACACATGGGAAGAAGAGAAAACCAAAAATTACTGTAATGAAAACTTCAAGTGTGGTAAAATGCCCAAAATTAAATACAACTTGAGTCTCATTTTCATTTTACAAGTATTCTGCTGTACTATTAAAGAACTGCAAAATTAATCACGCTATCTAAGCGAAATATAGAGGAGACCTGCAGGCCCCAGTGAGCATAATCCAGTCACTAGCAAGTACCCTGATGTGCTTTTTCTGCCCAATTTAACATCACCACAGGCTTTCTCACTATCCTCCTTAACAAGTTTCGGGTCATAAGCAGGCGATGAATCTATTTATCCAGAAAATTGGTTGCAACACTGCTTGCCCCTCTTGAAACTACTGGCTCACTTTTAAAGTTTCTGTGAGCATGAGTAAAACTGATTCACATCTGAATGCAATCAAACTTCCAATAATCGAAAATGAAGGCTAGGAATACTCTTCTTGTATCATGGTATTTTAAACACAGTATTTTTGGTGTTTTAGGTGTGTGTTTGTGTGTGTGTGTGTGTGTGTGTGTGTGTGTGTGTGTGTGAAATGTGTTGCATTTAATAGGCAATTCTTAAAGTACTTAAAAAATACTTAAATAAAAAGAAATATTTTATAAAATTATAGGTAGTGTAATTAAGATCAGCTATGAAGCCAAGTAGAGAACAAATAAATAATTGAAAAAAATCATTAAATTAAGAATATCCCAATCTAGCTTCCATTCTGGAAATCCCCGGATTTCCTTGCCAACATTTGACAGTTTTGAGATTGCAAGAACAGGTGAACACATACTTGTGAAGTGTAAGATAACAGTATCAGGTCAATAATATCTGCACTCTGAGTTTCTCTAAATATCTCAGAGATTATCAATCTATTTTGATATGTAAGTGTGGAAAGGATATACGCTGAGTTTTAATGGCACAGTATTTTAGTGTCTTGTAAAAGGGATAATGCACAGAGATAAAACATGTAAATGATTCAGGACTAAGATTAGCTGAATGATTCTCATATTTAACAATTTTGTATACAGGTTTTCAGAACAGTCAGTGAAGGACTTCCTACTCCATTCTAGCTTTTTCTGCTAGGTTATTTAATAATTAATTTCAACCCAGTATCCAAGTCTTTTTTGTTTTTCTGTTTGTGTATGTGTGTGTTTTGTTTGTTTTTGTTTTTTTTGAAGTTACCAATGATACACTGAATAGAAAGGCTATGCGACATCTATGGGGGAAAGATAATTTATTAGAAGTTAAAATTATATTTGTTTTTGTACATATAATTTAGCATTAGAAGTCATTTGTGTTTCTTAAGTGTCTTGCCAAAGCATTCATTCAATGTGAATGCAAAGACTATTAACATGCTACCCTTAACTTCTGAATTCATGGAGTTTAATAACATCATTTGGCAGTGAGTGTTTTGGTGTTTTCCTTTTATATGTAGCCAAACTAAATGTTTTTTCTAGCACACAATACTGCTGAAAAAATAAAATGAACTTTTGAGTTAAGATCCTGCAAACATATACAGTCCGGTGCATCAACTTATTAGTTTGTAAAATGTATTTGTTTATACATGCAGATTAAATTAAATTATAAACTTATTTATAGCCTGAAATATCCACCAATGCCATTTTTAAGGATAGATTAAAATAATTATTAAGCAAATTATATTATAATCCTCCAAAAGTAAATGCCATAAATGAAAATTTGCAACAAATAATGATCTAAAGAAATATATTTATAGGAATGTGAGAAGGGTCAAAATCATGGGACAATGAAAATTATCTTTCATTTTCATTCTACTAGCTTATTGTAAGCTTTCTTTTTCTCTTTTTTGCAACTATTGTTAATAAATCTGTAAAATGTGCTGAATCATAAATGTTTATCTATTTGAAACACAAAATTAACAAAATATAGAATATTGACTGTAATACGTAACAATAGTACCTGCTTAGTGGAAAGCTCCATTGCTGAAATAGTAGTTGGCTCCTGAAGAAGAGAAAGAAAATGTGAACTGCTTGGTCAATTGGAAAAGTCATTTATTAATATTAATTAACATAGAACACCAACATTAGCTCTCAGTTCACTCCAGTGCCTACAAGAAGCAATATAATTGGGAAATAAGATACATGAAGGAAACGGCAAAGATGAACATTAAATGTGTGGACCAGACAACATCGGCATGTTAATGTCCTCCAGTCTAAGATTATCAGTAACATACTCGTAGTTGATCAAGTTGGGTTACTGCTCACTGCAGTAAGGGAAACTACAGGACTGCCCAGCAAGAGAGTATTAGGAAGGACGCCTATGTCTTGGGCACTTGTTAGTTGATTTGAGGGACAACTCAAGGAAGTGGGGTTTGCTCTGCATGGGATGCTGCAGAGAGCACAGGTAACAGTATGATTAGGTCTCTTTGTACATCTTATTTAGGAGGAAGGAAAAACAGAATGAAGCTAGAGCAGTACTTAATGAAGTAGCAATTACTCATATAAGCAGGATAGGGGGATATTTGATCATTTTTTGTGGTTTGGGAAATGGTTACACTCTGATCTATTTTCAGACGTGATTACAGAATAGTCTTGCTTTTTTCTTGATTCATCACGGTTTCAGAGTAGCCCTGTAGGATGCTGGTGTTCTGTGAGAATGTATATGCTCACATGGAGAACACTGGCCTGTGAGTGCCAGGCCAGCTCCTAATAACACCACTGACAAGCTGATAGTATTAGGCATTTCCAGCTGTCAACGACTGTGAGAGCTCAGGTAGAATAAGATTATTTTATTATTATCAAAATGACTGCTTATTTAAAAAAAAAACTTCTTTTAACATTTATTTTTTCAAACTGACTGCTTATTGTATGAAGGCCTACACTGTACATTTTTGTCAGAGCACAAGATCTCTTCAATTTCTATCAACAGGCTAATCTAGAAAAATAACTAGGGAAGTATTGACCACCAATATATTTGTTAAGTGTTCTACTGAAGCCTATCATGAACACAGATAATTGCTATAAAAAATAACTTTCTTTGGTTAACTTAGACCACCAACAACCTATTCACCTGAACGTAATTGCTTATATTCTCTCTGATTTACTTTCATTGAACTGTACTCCATCGTATCTTTCATCAATGACAAACTAAACACTAAGAACGCTATTGCTTAGGGGTTTCAGAGGTGGCTGATGAGAAAGAAAAAAGAGGCACAGGTGGGAGAATAATCTTAAAAGGCCTCACTAGGTAGGACCCTGAACAAAGTGTAAAGAGTTGGATTCTGATGCCAAACTACATAGACTCAAATAGTAACGCAAACCTGGCCAAAAGTTTGATAGCAGGGGATGTATGTAACCTCTTTGTAATTCAGTTTTCACCTCTGAAAAATGAGTATGAGGGTATCTTCCTTGTAGGATTGAAGAAAAGGTTAAATGAGTTAATAAATGTAAAGTACTTTACAAATGTGCTTGGCGCACAGTGTTTATTCAAATTTCTCCCTCATTCCTTCTGTCTCTCTTTTATACACACACACAGGCACACACACACTGCTCATATTCTTTATTTGCTTTGGTTTTTTCCCTTGTGCTTATCACAATCTGGAAATATATATATACATACAACATTTATGTGTATATAAATATTATGTATATAACATATATATGATATAAATATAACATTTATCTTGTGTCTTATGAATTTCCTGTCACACCTGAAAGCAGTGTTGAGGTAAATTCTTATCTGTAGGTAGGGGGTAGGAGTGAGGAGTCAAGGTTTAAGAAGAAGGAGAAAAAGTCAAAAAAAGATGTGTTATGGAAGTCACCACTGAGAGAAAATCTGAGGACAATAGACGATTACTCTCAAAATTGTCCACTGAGATTTATACCAAGAAAACAACGGATTCATTCCATTACTCATTAGATGCCCACGGGGGTGTTAAATCTCCCATACTTCCAGTTGTGACTCCTGTCCTTTTGCCTGCTGTCAGAGAAGTCCTGGGGCACACAGTGAGGCTGTGTTGGAGGTAGGGATAGCAGGATATAAGGAGGGACAGGGGAGGCATCTCTTATTTCTTTTTCTAGTTTGTCTCCACAACTCACCCCTCACTACCCCCTGCCCCTCACTGGAATTTAGAACAGGGGTTTTGCTTGTTTCATTCACTGCCACATTCCTAGCACCTGGGATTGTTTCTGGTATTTGTTAAGTTCTCAATAAAATCTGTTAACTGAATGAATTAATGAGTTGGTGAATGAATAAATGAATTAATGCTCTACTAAATTCTCCAGTTCCTTTCTATCTCTTCCACTTTCCCCAGTACATTCTGTTCCTTCCACTTAATTTGTCTGAAATAAAGACAGGCATCTTTTATTTATTTTTTTTTTAATTTTTTTTTTCAACGTTTATTTATTTTTGGGACAGAGAGACACAGGGCATGAACGGGGGAGGGGCAGAGAGAGAGGGAGACACGGAATTGGAAACAGGCTCCAGGCTCTGAGCCATCAGCCCAGAGCCTGACGCGGGGCTCGAACTCACGGACCGCAAGATCGTGACCTGGCTGAAGTCGGACGACAACCGACTGCGCCACCCAGGCGCCCCAAGACAGGCATCTTTTAAAAAGGTCTTTCCTTAATCTTTTAAGTTAAGCTGAAAAATCTTTCAAAATATGTATTGCTTTGTTCATGTCCCATTCAGTGTTACTGATTTCTCAGCACACTGAGGCTATCCCCTCCCCTGGGGAGGTGGCCTATGATTCTTAGAAGCAGAAATCACTAATGAGCTGTATTAGTGAATGAACACTTTCAGTCTATATTATTATTACTGGACTTTTTTTTGTTTGACATGGCACTATTGACCGCTCATTTCTTTTTGACTGCTTCCTCTATTAAATTTCATTAGGCCTTGGAACTCTCTCTCTCTTTTTTTTTTTTTTTTTAAGAGCGAGAGAGCATGAGCAAAGTGGCAGCAAAGTGGGAAGACGGGCAGAGGGAACAGAGGGAAAGAGAGACAATCTTAAGCAGATTCCAGGCTCAGCTCAGAGCTGGATGGATGTGGGGCTTGATCCCCCAAACCTGGGATCATGACCTGAGATGAAATGCAGAGTTGACACCCAACCCACTGAGCCACACAGGAGCCCAATGCGTTACAGCTCCACTATTTATTCTTAGCCTTTTTCACAGTCTTCTTGTCCATCAGCCATTCCTCATCTGTTTGCCTTCCCTTGCCTGCTCCCTTCCACTCTCCTTTGGATGCTACATTCTTTTCCTGGTAGCTCATCCACTCTTGTGGTTTTAATTACCCCCTCTATGCTACAGAATTGCAGATTTTCACTTCAAACTCAGATATCTAAACTGATCACAGGATATTCCTATCAAATTTAAGACAGCTTGCCAGAGACACAAATGAAACAAATGACTTAGGATGTAAATTAACAATTTAGAGATTTCCCATTATTTCCCATTTCCATAGCATAAATTACTGAAATTAAAAATAAGAACTTTCTATAGGATTATCAGTCAGAAAGACAGCTATGATGTCTTGGCATACCCACCAATTTTTTCTTTGCGGAGATATCTTTAAAATTTGGTACCATCAAATCACAAAAATCAAGGGGACAATTCATCACAGATTTTCAGCTTTAAAAGACAAAACTGCCTACTGTATTTAGGTCTGTATAGTATTGGAATCAATGAACCCAAACAGACAATTTGAAGGAGTTAGGAAAATTTTCCACAGCAACTTCTTCCATTCCAACAGTTTCACATGAGAAATAGTTATGTACTTATGTAAGCAGCTAACTTCACGTAGACTTTCATGAAATAAATTTTACAGCCAAAGTGCAAGGAAAGTGCTTTTGGGATAGAGAATTAATGCTAGTATAATTGAAGTGAAAGTTAGCTATGTCTAGTTTCTTGTAAAAACCTAAGTGCAACTATGTAATGGTGAACCTGATTAATATTTAGGCATTTCATGATCACTGACAAAAAAAAATTAAACATCTATAAGTAGATGAAAATAAATTATTTGATACACAAATTGTAAAACAAAACAAACCGTAATACACAACCAAACTCTACTGTACCATATTATGATTTCAAAATTCTTAAATTAAGATCCTAGGATCTCTTAATTAAAATAATTTTATTTATTTTTTAGGCCAGGAGATTAATAACAGTTTGGAATAGAATGTGCTATTTGCTGTACACTGTTGAATTTTAATAGACAATATATTAAGATGACATCCATTTAAATAAGCTATATTTCTTTTTCTGAGAAAGAGCTGGTGGTGAATATGACTTCCATTTAAAACAGATGTAGCTTCATAAGCATTTTTTCATGAAACTGGTTTCAACTGCAAAGTTAATTAGTGTTCAAGTAAAAATGAAATTAAAAACTTAGCATCTTTTCAAGATTTTCTATGACTCTAATTTACTCTATTTTATTTTATTTTATTTTATTTTTTATTTTGCAGATATTTTAATCCAGTCCTTATTAAACTTTCTCACTTGCAGAGCTTTTCAACCTGCTGATCCCAGGAGAATCTGACATAACTCCCTGGATGCTAAAGCATGCGGACGCTCCTTCAGAATGAGTTAATAGACTAGGTTTTGGAAAGCATCAATTATGTTTTACATTTGAATGAAAATTAAACTCTTTCATTTGTTAGCTCAGCTGTTCATGGAACATTGCATAAATTGAGTTTAAAATGCATGCGTTATCAATGTAACTACCTTGCAATCCTTTGCAGTCAATAGGACTATAAATAAAACCCGTGGTGCTAAATGCACTGCCTCTTGATGTAACACTCCTCTGTCAAAAAGTAAAACCTTCCTTGCAGGAAAGAAGATCCCATACTGAGTAAACTGAAAATCAGCAAATGTCTAGGTTTACAACTTTTGAATATTTTTTTTTTTTTTTTTTAATTTTTTTTTCAACGTTTATTTATTTTTGGGACAGAGAGAGACAGAGCATGAACGGGGGAGGGGCAGAGAGAGAGGGAGACACAG